AAAAAAATGAAAAGCAAGTTTTGTTAAAACCATCACATTATAAAAGCTTAGAACACTTAACATAAGTATCATTAATACACGTTATGCGCTACTAGATAAGTCATAAATGATTTAGTAGGCTTGAAAAAAGTGAAACATAGGAAATACTAGATTATTAAACATGATTAAGTTAGGTTGGCATCAGAAGTCAGAACTTGGAAAGTATTAGTTGTAGAACCACAAGGCTTTAGTATACACGTAGATGACAATATAAAGATCAATAATTGCATATGGAAAGAATTAAAACCCTTAAAGAATGGACTATAACAACCTTCAAAGTACTATCAAGTCCTGGTGTAATTGTAAAATTGCTGCCAAGAGTAAAAAAATTGATAGATTACATGTGAAGCGCGAAGATCGGAGAAGAGAAAACTCCAACGAATTAAGACTCCGATTTCTAACGCACTTGAAACAAAACTAGAATAGTTTGCATTGTGCCGAAGCCTATAGAAAAGCGATAGCGTTCCGCTGAAATGGAGAGACCACATACGTTATACTTCACGTCATTCCATGTCGATTACTGTTTAAAAAAACTAAAATCGTGCCTTTGATTCTTCTCTTGGATCCTGGGGCACTAGTTAAAGTGATATTTGCTGGGAAAAACAAAAAAAAATGATTAAGCACGATTCCGTGACATCTTATCCCCTAACTGCTGGCAGCAATTAAGATAACACCAGGAGCGAACTAAAAGAAGAAGCGAAACAACTATAACTCAGTGTAAACCTATTCGACCAAAGCTTTTGTAGCGTACATATAGGTTCGAGTCATGGGACGTTCCTTGATACGAGCCATCTCTTTGCGAAGCAAAGCCAATACTGCCTCGTTAGCATCAGAGCGGTTATTTTTTGTCTTATCTCTGATTCTTTCCCATTTTTTCTTTTCCACCGGTCTTTCCGCCTTCTTTTGACGTTTCTTGTATCTCTTCATAGCCTTTTCTGCTAAAGACTTCAACTTTCCAGCTTTTTTATTCGCTTTCTTGTACTGGTCCGTCACTTTGCACCATTTAGCTGTCGCAGATCGAGCTTTGTCGCGGTCTGATCGGGAGGCTGCGCGATCCGCTGCTCTTTTCGCCCTTTCAGCTTTTGCCTTTAGTTTTTCGGCTATTTCCTTCGCCTCTGCCGCCTTATCCTTGAGCTTTTCCATACGTTCCCTTGCTTTTTCTGCTTTCTCGCGTGCTTCCATTGCAGCGGTCCGCGAACTGTCCGAAATTGATCCAGCCTTCGATTTTCCTGCCTTTTTCGAATCCGCAGATCCTTTTGTTTGGTTTTGTAACTGGACAAGCTGGAAAGTCAAAATCAACCCAAAATCTATGATAATATCTACATTGTAGACGAACCTCTGCTTGAAGTTTTCTTGTCTCACGTTGTTCCTCTTTTTCATCGGGATTAGCATAAATTCTTAGAAGACCACCATATGTAGAGACCTAAGTAGTTAAGATCATTTGGATTTTTGTCATTGT